TCATCAATCATCAATCATCAATCATCAATCATCAATCATCAATCATCAATCATCAATCATCAATCATCAATCATCAATCATCAATCATCAATCATCAATCATCACTCATCAGTCATCAATCAACAATCAACATGCATCATAAATTCACAAGAAAATTTAAGGCGTCTATCCTAAAATCCTAACCGCATGATATCTACGTTCACTATCATCATGTCTAAGCGAATAGAAGAAAGAGGAGATCTGTCGAGTTCCCTCACCTTGGTCTAAACGATGAACTCTGAAAGATTCGCTCTAATCCTCGATCCCGGGTTCAATAACCTCGAGATTTTCTTCACCTATAATTAATTATCATATAATAATCTTAATCAACAAATTATTTTTCAAAAATATTTACTACCGAAAAAAAAACATTAATCGAATGGTAAGTCTTACGGTTAAACTGTCTTATTTTAAATCGTTCGAAGATCTCTAAATACTTTGAATTTTATAAAACGGATTTCGGATTCGAAATCACAGGATTGAAACGGTTCAACCCATGTCACCGGAAAATTTTCCGACGACGGTGGCCGGTGGTGGTGGTCGGCGGCCGGTGGCCGGAGACCGTCATACATCTCAGAATCATTTAAATTTTTTTTTGTTTCCTATGTAAAACCAATCAAGGAATCCAGATCCGAAGTTATTTTGGCCTAAATCGGCTTAAATCGCCCTAGATCTAAGTTTTTTTCCGACGGTTCTCGGTGATTTTCCGGCGATGTTTCACCGTTTCCAGCGACGACACTACCCAGAAAAGATTCAACTCGTCAAGTGCTTTCAAGCCCTTCAAGTCTCAACCCAAACCGAGCTTCCGTTCGCCGGAAATCGGAAAAACTCCATGGCGGTAAAGGAGAAGGAAAACGATGAAGAAAAACTAAGAAAAGATGGAGAAACGGACCGACGGTGATGAAGCGGTGGCCACGGGGCGGTGGTCGATGGTCGACGGCGAGCAAGGAGGCAAATCGGAGTGGAAGATAGGCAACAATGGTGTTAGGGTCGGCCATGGGAGGAGGAAAAAGAAGAAGAAGAAGAAACCCTAGCAAAAATTGCAGTCCAATCCCATATTTTCTGAAATTTTCGAATTCTGCCCAAACTTTTATTTCGTTCTAAAAGACCCTAACTGAAATAACAGATTTTTCCAGAACTTTTAATTTTATCACCTTACCCCAATTCATTCATTTTTTTTTAAATTTCCGTTCGTTATAGTGACTCTGTGGCCTATGACAACATATGACGCTGTGATCATACCACCTTGTCACCTACACAAATCACCATGCAATCCATACATCTATAATCCGATTTAAAGGTTACTGTAACTCTTTTCTCAGTCCTTAATCACAATGTCCCTAATCAGTTATCTAAATCTCTACTGATTTCAGAAACCCCAAATCACAATGTCACTCATCTCACATGACAACTAATTACGTCACTTACAGATTTTAGAAACCCAAAACCCTTCCGTCTACTTCGCAATGTGCAAAATTTCAGAAACCCAAACCCTAAATCTCTACTTATAGATTCTGAAATCGATACTTCAACTAAACAACAACCAAAATCCAACCGGAAGATGATGGTGGAGTTCATTTAACCTACCCGTATGTCCTTTTAACTATGAAATTTGCAGACGATCCTCATTTTCGGAGGAAGAAGATGATGAAGACGACTGTACCGAAGATTCTACAACCATTTTCTTCCCTTTCGTCATGTCTTCCACAAATCTCCATTCGAATCTAGCCGCAAACAGAAATTTCGACACAGAGAGAAGAAGAAGAGAAACCGAAATTGGCTCAGGCGAAAATGCAGAACAAATCGGAGGTTTTAGAGAGAGAGAGTTGAGCTAGAGGTCTTTTGCCTTTAGAGAGAGAGTTAATTTCGAAACTGAAGAAAATGTGGGAGAGAGAGTGTGGTATGCCAAGGGTAACACTGTCTTTCCATTTAATTTCATGGTTTTTTTGTCTTTTTGTTTTGTTCAGTAATTTTTTTTTTCGAGGGTAAGCTCAGAAGTATATGTAGCGGTCAAAGGGTATAACGGATATATTGTCATGCATTGGCCTCCCTTGTGTTCTTTGATTGGTGTGTTAAGTTTTTACAAGATTTAGGAATCGGTTTAAGAATGCATTGCACTCGTGAGGGGGAACTATGGAGGATAATACTACGAAGGAAGAGGATGCAATACACATGGATGGACGTTTGCAACTATGAAGGAATTCATCCTTCAAGATTGGATTTTCAACATTTCTCCAAGCCAATCTTGAGGGGGGAATGTTAAAGAATTACCAAATAACACTTGACATGTGTTGCATATTACTTAGGATTTAATGATGTCATAAGCTTTGGATCGAAACATATACACAAGGGAAGCATTCAACTCAGATTCTGGACCATTTGTGGAGATATTATTGATCAAGAAATTATGCAAAACTGGAGCTAATCAAGTCGACATGATTGACATGGAAAAACAACATATTTCCTTATTTAGTTTAGGCAATATCTTCCTTATTTTTTCTACATATTTTGTAACGTTAACATTCACTTATTTCCTTATGTTTTGTGTAATATTTTCACGTATATATTTTGTACTAATTCATCATAAGAGAATATGAGAAACAAAAGTAACTTTCGTGTTGATACCTTCTCTATCAAAGTCTCCTCTTCACATCATCCTTTTCATCTATATACTATGCAATATTTCTTCTTCATTCATAGTCTTATTTGATCAACCAAATCATTCGTTTGTTAGAAATCTTCAAATAGTTCATTGCATATGCAATATCTGTTGGTTGTAATGCTCTAGGATGTTCCGTGATATGACATTTTGACATTGTATTGATTCATTGGTTTATGAATGCATTACATTCCCGTTATATGATTGGCATGTTTGTTATATTTCGGTATCCTTGAATCATTATAGAATGATTCTAAACTCCCTGGTCAGTTATCATTGTGGGAACTATGATGAATTAAGACTAGCATGAGGTGTGATCGATGCATTGGATGCATTTCACAATCATGGGTACTCGTTGTGAATGAGTGACTGGTTGACCCGCATGAGATTGTCACATGGACAGAGTCATGACTTGAATCTCATACAGCGGTTCGTTCTTGGATCCTCAGACCTGAGATGTCTAGAGTATCTGATATGAGGAGTGGCGTGTCTTGACTGCGTCAAACGTCGTCTTTAATTGGATGATTATAATGGCGTTGATCAGATACGTTCACGAATCATATGGAGATAATGGATATGCAATATGGGACTTGTCACGTCCTCAATAGGAGAGATATCGCTGGGCCCTCTCGTGGAAGTCGGACTCTGAAAATGCGTGGCCACGCTATAGATGAAGTTGCATCTATTTTATTAGTTGATTTGCCAAGACGAGAAAGCGGTTGAACTTGAAGGGTGGCTCAAACCATGCCCTTGTTTAACATATGATATCGTGAGATAAAGGATCAGAACTCGAGCTGTTATTGCCTTGGTTAGATCACCTCTGACTCAATTCAACGTGGGTGGTCATGGCGTCTTGCTAGAGGCTAACCATTACTTGTAGATCGGGAATGGTTCTCGAGGCTGCTGCCACTGCGAATGGGCCTACAGGGTCACACACCATTAGGGATGGATTTATATGTGAAGTTTCGGAAAGAATAACTTGGATTTGGTCGGAAAAACCGTTTTCGGATCAAATCAGAGTGTCGGGACGTTTTCAGCTTTCTGACTCGGACCGAGTCAGTATTTGACTCGGACCGAGTCAGTTCCATGCGGGTCGAAGCCCAGAAAGTGTTTTGGGCTTGGCTGATGTTTTGACTCGGTCGAGTCAAAGTTTTGACTCGGACCGAGTCAATACTCAATGGGCCGAGTCAAGAGTTGACAATGGGCTTGGGCTGATTCGTTCTGACTCGACCGAGTCAGAGTTCTGACTCGGACCGAGTCAATACTCGGAAAAAGTCTCTTTTCACAAGGATTAGGGTTTGTAACTTATAAGGAGGTATTGGACGCCGTCCTAAAAAAAAGACAGACTTTCAGAACCCTAAGACAGATCTAGAACACAAGAAAATCGTTTCTTTTGAGGTTCTAGTTCTAGGGATTCGATCCCAAGTCTTGGAAACCCTATTCACTTCACAGATCCTAGCAGATCAGTTCCAAAAGCGTTTGGAGTCCTTCCCGTCGGTGTGGATACGTGTAGAGGAGCTGTACTTTCAGCTCTTGGTGATTAAAACAGGCCCTGGATCGATTGCTACTTTTAGATCTTCAGGAAAGAGGTAAGTATTCGATTCCTACGGTGATATACACGATTAAACGGGGTTTTACGGATGATTTTGGTTGCGTGTGACGTTTGACTAGGTTTAGATTATTCTTCCGCTGCATGAAACCTAGTAAACCAAACCCTAGATCGATATGATCGCATGCTAGGAATCCGTAGCGAAACCCAACAATATCAGATCTCTACAATTAGCTAGATACATTAAACTACCGATGGTCCTTGCATATTCCACTTGAGATACTAGATCTCCTCGATTTTTACCTAAATGACAACTAATGTCAACATGTGTTCTAACTATAGTACAGCCAAGCTGATTAAATTTTTTTAGAACAGTCTCAACATAGTGAGATTGTGATATGAAAATTCTTTTTGATCCTTTTAAAATCTTTATCCGTAGAATAACATCAGCTTGACTCATGTCTTTCATGTCAAAATGTTTTTTCAACATTTTTTTTGTATTCATGATTATATCATGAGTAATTCCCATGATTAACATGTCGTCTACATACAAACAAACAATGACATATTCATCTGCATTACTTTTAGTGTAGACACATTTATCGCATTCATTGTTTTAAAACCGTTTGACAACATCGTTGTATCAAATTTAGCATGTCACTGTTTAGGTGTTTGTTTTAATCCGTAAAGGGATTTAACTAGTTTGTGTTAGAAAAGTTGGGCAAATGTTATTAATTTCTTAAAACCAATTTGTGGTGAATGAGAAATTAATTTATACAAAATAAATGTAAAAATGTGGAAGAAGAACATTTGTCCCACATTGGAAAAATGACAAAGCACAAGGAAGGAAGCTTCTTTATATGTGTGTTTGTCCTACATCTAATGTTTTGGCCAACAGGAAGGAAGGAGCTTCCTTATAAAAAGAGCTCCCCTTGAATCAACAATGTTCAAGCTCAAGGTTGACTAAAGCTAAAAATGCTTGGTCCCACTTCTTCCTTTTCGGGAGAAAACGAGCAAAGTTCCCTGAGCAGAACGTTTAAATTTTGAATTGAAAGTTCCACTCGGGACTTTTCGATTCTGATAAAAACGTTTCGATGTGGGATTTAAAATTTAAATATGTGCGCCGATGTGGGACGGTTGGGCTTCGAACCAATGCGTTCTTGACGAAACGTTTCCTTTTGGAACGATTCGGATAGAACCGCTGGTTGAAAAGGTGGAGCCTCTTCCTTCACATGTTTTCGTAGCAACCCTTGAATATTATAAATAGGGCGCTCATAGGATCATTTTCTGCATCCCATTTTTCTGAGTATTCTCTTCCTTTCAGAAAGAAATAATCCAAAACTTTTTCTCTGGAGTTCCGAACTTTCGTAGTTCGTTGGATTCTCTAAAGCAGGTAGTGCTTTTGTAGAATCGTAAGTCGTTGTATCTTAGAGACGATTGCTATAAATCGTAACCACTTGATAACGGGGCAATTTCGTTTTGAGGAGATTGTGTATAACACAAACCTCGACTTAACCCACTTCAAAAATTTTCTTTTCTTCTGAAAATTCTGTTTGAATTTCTGAATCCCACATCGTCAGATTCAACATTCTCAAGACGAAAATTTGTGTCTATAAGACATGGATAGTGCTTCAAGTGCTCCAGTAGGGTCTGTTCCTGGACAAGGAACTATAACTGCACAAGTGAGCATTCCGGTAGGATCTGTTCCTGCACAAGGGGAAAAGCCAGGAAGTTCAATGGTGTGGACTTTAAGAGGTGCCAACAAAAGATGTTTTTCTATCTGACCACTCTTAATCTGGCTCGTTTCCTCACCGAGGAACCACCTGTGGTTTCGGATGAAGAAACCAACACAGAAAGAAAGAATGCATATGATGCATGGATTCATGGATATTTTCTATGCAGAAACTATGTGTTAAATGGATTGGATGATGCATTGTATAATATATACAGTCCATTCAAGAGGGCTAAGGA